CTTAGCAAAGCGCATCCCAGGCTGCATAGCCGCACTACCCTACCCAACCATACCACACAAACATGACACCACCCCCGGGGTTTACACAGACGTGCCGGCGAAGCAAGAAGTGCGCCAGAAGAAAGGGCCCTAGCCGGCGGGGCCCAGCCAGGACAAAAGGAGGTCCCACAAAGCGCCCACACCGGCCGCATTTGCGGTCGGGGTAGACGACGGATGGGGCCCACCTACGAAGGCTGTCCAGGCTTACACGAGATGAGGCAGGATAAAGAGGGATAATCCCCCTCGATCCCAAATCGTTGAGGCCAATTTCTAGCCATGGAATAATGGCGCTCGTAGCCATGGAATAGTGGCGGTGCTTTTATGTTGGCTATGAATTCGCGATCGCCCTGACCATAGACCTTATAAACTTGGTCAATGGTCCTGACGCAGTCTATATTTTTGTTTGTAGGTTTCTGTGGGTTTGTGGTTCTGTCATACACGTGCATGGCCATGCTATGATGGTCACACTATGGTATGGTATACTTTTAATTTTTAAGGTTAATTGTTGTTAAGTGTTTTTATTATAAAGTTGTAAGTAAGATAAATATTTTTAATGTTTCATTACATAATTGCTCTCTGATGTTGCAGAGAAAATGAGTACCTCTTTGGCAGAACAGTTGCAGCGTTTGGCTGTTCCCCAAACAACAGTTTTGAAACGTGATAAAAAGCGAGCCTCTCTTTTATTTGACCCGAAAGAAGCTGCTGGTCTAAAAAGAGAAACAGTTTATCAAATTGGATTAGAGGGGCTTGAAGAATTAATTTCAAAAAACGAAGTTTTCAGTCAGTTCAAAAATTCACTTTTCCACATTACCTCAAGAGATTTTGAGAGGTCAGTTCACGACGATGAAGCCAACCATAAATTGGATAAAACTATTAGAAAGTTTTTAGTGCTTTTGTCACCATATTTCTTATTGAACTGCAGTCATAAAGCGTTGGAGTGGTTAATAAATAGGTATTCGATAAATGAATATAACAGAGAAGATTTGCTGATGTTAATTTTACCGTATCACGAATCTAACATTTTTGTAAGACTTCTGCAATTACTGCGTTTTAAAGATTCTAGAGACAGTTTTTACTTCTTAAAAGCATTACAGAAACCCGGAGTTCATTTACCCAAACAGAGTTTATTACAACATGCTGCAAGTGATAGTAGTTTCTTGAAATTTGTAACAAAGTATATAAAGTTGCTGTTAAAGTTTCATGAAAAGCCCAGTGTTTTAACTGTTGCTTTTAATTTTTACTGTTCAGTGTTTGCTGGTGCTGTGGAATATTCCGAAAAAGTTACAGAAGATCAGGTGTCACATATACTTCCATTGATTATTAAAGGTTTAAATTCTCCTGTAGCAGATTTTTGTGCAGCATCTTATGTCGTAACTGCTCGATTAGTGACGAAATCTAGTTTTTCTGATAAATTACTTGACAAACTTGTTGAAAAATTGTGCGATATACATGTTCTTGGATTAAAAACTGAGATGTGCCTGGTGTTAATTGTTTTATATCAGTCCCAGAAACAGTACAATAATGTACCTGTTACTGCAGTAGCGAGTTTGTCAGAAAAAGAATGGTTGCCTAAAACTTTACAGGAATTAAATAATTCCGGAAGTTACATTTTACCTTTACTGGAAAAACTTGTTAAAAGGTGTACAGAAGAAGGAATAAATAATAACCTTACAATTGCTCATGAATTAATTAAAAATTGTTTGAAACACATTAAACTGGAAGACGCTGATGTTGCTAATATTTTACTGTAAGTATATTTATGTATAATCTTTTTTATAAGTATTTAGATTTTAGAACTCAATTTAATTATTACAGGATTCTTAATTCAAAAGTAATATAGAATTCCCTGAATTTTCTAAGTTTTTCTGACATAAAACAAATCCAAGTCACTTGTAGTTCATTTTTACATACTTATACCCAAAGAACCTCTTATAAAATAGAGCTGTCATAATTGGTCGCGTACCAAATGCATGTGGATCATCAACGGGAGGTGGGATTGGGCGGGGGCAAGGGGGGCCAATATTATTGCAATTGAGCAAAAAAATGAAACTCGGAGTTAAACTTCAAGGGAGTGCAATTTCAATAGTCGTATGGCGACAGATCGTAGTTAAACCGCAGATAGGCAGGAATTCGCAATCTCCCTGGGTTTTTATTTCAGGGGGGGGGCATTTGTAAATTTACCCTTTCAATGATTTGGGCGAAATCCCGCCTATAAGATTTATGTCATTGTATCATTGTGAAGCATGTAAATTGTTTTATGCATCGTTGCCATCAGTTCCACAATCTGGATGGGATCCGATATAGACACACCATCAGGTATGTTCCTATCTTTGTTTCAGAGAAACTTATTCGTGGCGGTGATAAAATATCTTCATCTGAAGAGAGCGACCGTTCAACATCTACATCAGTAGTAATATTACATTAGTAATATTTGCATAATTAAATAATTTACTTCCAACCAACATGGTAATTTCCACTCGGGGTTGTATTTATTATAGTAGTTATGAAATATTTTATTATATTATTGTTGCAGCAGCTTAAATGGTTATTTTTAGAACTCATTATTTCCTTTACTTTACCTTTCATAAAATTATTTTCTATTCCAAAAAAATATATCTATTTTGTTTTCCACCTGAATAGTTTTTATATGTTAATAATTTTAGTTACCGGTAAATTTGTTTTTTTTTTAGTCAGGGTAGTATGAATTGTTTGTCTGCTGTTTTCTAGTACTAACTACACTCGACATAATTACACACAATTATTTTTTATGGGGCTGCCGAGCGCTGGACACTGAAATCTACTTTAGTCGGTGACAAAGGATATGCATCAAAAGACAACTAAAATCGTAAAATAAATCGTTCGATTACAGGGAAATCTGCAACTAAACTGACAGCTAGGCAGTTCGCATGGCTGACTGGCGGTGCCAATGGCTAGCGGTCCGATTGTGACAGTTCTATTTCAAAACTACAAATAGTTTTCACCTTCAAGAAGTCAAAATTTCCAGTTGCAAACATCAAATTCCCTGACTTTCATGAATACTTTTGAAATTCCCAGATTATTAATTGTTTTTTTTTGTGAAGCATACCTAATGAATTCCCTGGCTTCCCAGTATTCCCGATTTTCCAGGCCCCTATGAACCCTGTTATTAATATCATTTTAATTGTTTCACTCTTAATTGTAATTTTGTTTTATAGTGCCATTTTGGATTCTGTGAAATCAAGAAAACGGTGCTCAGATGAAATTACCAGTTGGTTAGTAGAACTAATACAAATGTTAGAAAAACAGTACCCCAATGCATTTGACCAAGAAATCATTAAAATTCTTTCTGCTATAAAAGATGAAAAGATGCTGAAAAGGAAAAAATTGCTGTCCAAGATTTTGAAAAGTACTATGGCGTACAAAGGAAAATTTGATGTTTTTGAAAAACTTTATCACCCAAACCCTAAAATCAGGGGTGAAGCAATTGGGTATTTAAAACAAAATTACAACTCATTAAGAGAAACCAACAAGGAAATAATTAAGCAATCTCTTCTTGATCGTTTAAATGATGATGATATAAATATAGTTCGAGAAACATTTTCAGTAGTTCATAAAATTTCAATATTCGGAATAGATGAATTAAAGGGCATTTTAACAGATCTGACAAAAAAAATTTATAAGGTGAAAACAACTCGGAAAATTCTTTCTGTTTTTATTATAAACCTGTTGAATGCAATAAATGATCCAAAGGATTGGAAGGTGATTTTGGCAGTTTTTCCGTTTTTATTGCCAAGGACTGAGGAAGATCTACTTTTTTCAAAAAAAATCATTGGTTCACCATGTGTTTCGGAAAATATATTGTTAAAGCCATTTATTGAGAAACTTCAAAACATTAAAAAAGAAGATGATTTTGTCACAACAATATTCGAGAGCTTACAGAGCAATGGTTCTTGGGAGATTGTTAAAGAATTTTTGGTAGTTTTACATGAAGTTCCAAAAGAACAACGTGACACTTTTTATAAATATGTTGCATGTTTGGTTTTAACAAATATTTTACCGAATAAGTCTTCAACTGATGTTATGTATCTTGTTTTGGATATTTTAGTTGCTTATTATGAAACGTGTGAGGTTAAATCGTTTAATAAAGAATCAAATATTAATTATTATATGGACTTGGCTGCAGAAGAAAAATTTCCAATACAAGGTTTCTTAAAATGTTTAGAATGTGCTATTAAGAAAACAGATAAACAAGAATTTAATTTGACTTTTGCCGATTTCACTGAAGATTGTTCTGCTAAAAAATATTTTGTATTATTAGCAAATATTTTGATTAGTAATCAAAGTAAGAAAACAGCTGCAGTATTCTTAAATTATTTTTGTGAAGATTGGATAACTCAATATAATTTTATGTTAAACTTGTGCATATCTGGAAATAGAAGCTTTAACAGTAGTTTCAAATTAGATGCGTTAAACTATTTGATAAAATTATCGAAGAATATAGATGTTGAAGAATTCAAACAATTTATTTATATTGATAAACCGACCACTGCATATTTACTAACTTTGTTAGCAGATCCATCTGATGAAGTGAGAAAATTAACAGTTGAAATCATCGAATCACTTTTAGATGCTTCAAGTAGAAAATCGTCTTCATACTTACACCTCTTGGAAGGCTTGAGAAAACACAAGGAAGAAATAATTATTGACCATGAGCAGATTTCTTTGATTATATTTAATATACTAGACCCCTCTAATACCAAAGGAAAGAAACATAGTTCTAATCTAAATTCTATTCGTAATCACATGATTAAATTGGTTGGTAATGAAGAAATTCCTAATTATCTCAAAGCAAGCATATTGAATTTATTGTCCCATATTAATACTTTTGAAATTTTGGAGCAAATATGTAAAGTTGCCATTGAAATTCTTCAGGAAAAGGTTGAAGTAATTGATGGTTCTAAAATGATAATTATTAAAAAAATTATAAGCAGAATCGAAGCAAAAATTGCAAATAAAATATCGCTAAATACAAATATCTGGAAATTTATTATAAATACAATCAAAAATTGTAAAACTGTACTAAAGGATGAACATGAAAATATTAGCCCTTCTGTGTGTATTTTGTGGCAACTGGACAAGGATTTTTTTCAAGAACTTGAAGAAGAAGTCGAAAAGAAATTATTGGATATAATCATAGAAGTATCTTGTGTCGCTGAAAACCCAGAAGTATTGCCTGTAGCTACTCGGATATTCAAACATATTGATTTAGATGCTAATTTAATCATGGAGCAACTAACTAAAATGAGAGATGTTCAGTCTCCCAAAACAGACACTGCAAAGATAAAACGAAGGGTCAGTGTCGTACCCACAGTTGATATCTTGGATACATTAGAATGGAGAAAAGGAGTTAGTTTATTAGAATTTATTCAAGACAAAAAGAAAATAAGAAACACAAATATTTTACTGCCCACATTATTCGACATTTTAAAAAAATGTCTTGATTTTGATGAACAAACAGTTGTCGAATACACCAAGCAGCTTTTACTTTCATCTATTTTGCATTTCTGTTTGAAAATGAATGACGAAGTTTTACCTGAAAATATTTTTAACATGGAACTTGTAGTTCAGTGCATTAGGGCATCTCAGAATCCTCAAACTCATCATCATGCTTTACTGGTATTAGCACACACTGCTCAATTATTACCGTCACAAGTTTTACACCATATGATGGCCATATTTACCTTTATGGGTTCTTCAGTTCTTCGCCATGATGATGCGTATAGTTTTCAGATAATTACCAAAATAATAGATACCATAATTCCTATATTAGTGCAAGATAACCAGATTTCTACCATTGCTAAAGTATTAAGAGTATTTGTAGATGTCCTTTTAGATGTTCCTGAGCATAGGAGGATGCCCTTGTACAGGCAATTATTAACCAGAATTAACGTGCAAGAGAATTTATACTTATTCCTATTGCTAGTTTTTGAATCTCAAGTACTTCATAGTAATAAGGAAAAGCCAAGAAATGATAGTAGCTCAAAGAGACTAGATATTGCTGCAGATTTGTGTCGTGAGTTTGCTCCAAGTATTGTTTTATCTAGTTGCATAAAATTGATCAAACATATTAATGAATTACCAGATGAAAAAGAGGACATCATGGAAACTGATGATAGTGACACATTTAATATAATTACACATTCTCCTAAAGATTTTCGTCATTATAAATATCTACTTCTTAAGTTTACATCTAATTTGTTAGCTTCTCAAGAATTTGTCAAACAGATTGCAGTTCTTACTGATGAAGAGGAAATGTACCTAGAAGATTTGTATAAAGAAATGATAGTGAACATCCTTCAGTATATACAAAGAACATCAAAAGTAGCCGAGAAAGCTGCGGATACGCCTCAGGCCCAATATTGGAAAGTCATTCTGCACCATAGCTATGACGTATTAGATAGCTTGAATGCCTTAGTAACCCCTCAAATGTTTCTTTTGGTTACTAAGGGTTTAATGGCTCATGGCCTAAATACGGTTAGAAGACGAATTTTAGAATTACTCAATAATAAACTGCAACATAATGCTCAGTTCTTTATGGAACGTGGGAAGACAGAAATTTATACCCTAATACCATCTATAATCAGTATCGTTGAAGGTATTGATAATGAAGTAGATTCAGAACAAGAAATTATTATTCAGACGGCACTTCTCTCGTTGAAATTATTGGTTAAGTCACTGGCACCTGATGACCCGGAGAAATTTGTACAAATACTAGATTTTATAACAAATGTCATTAATTCTGGCAAAGCAAAAAATAATGTCTTAGCATCTGTGATTCTCTGTCTAGCTGAGTTATGCGTGACTTTGAAGGCCCATGCTATATCTGGTTTGGCAGAATTTATGCCAGCAATTATAAAAATTTTGAAACAACAGAAATATGAGGAAGCTCCAAGTGTACTTATGAGAAGTGTTATAACTACAATAGAAAAGATTTTTATTAGCATGCCGTTATTTCTAAGTCCATATTTAGAAAAGTTACTTGTAGAATTGTCTATTCTAATCAGTAAATGGAGTGATGTGCCCGACGATTCAAAAATACAACCATTTTTGAACAAACTGACTTCTATCAAGCAAAAGATTGGTACCATTATTCCTCCAAGAGTTTTAATACCAGCTGTTGAAGAGTGCTATAATAAGTTAATTGAGAAGAAATGTTTCAATGCCATTAATGCACTTATGGATATTTTGGCAGAAAACTTGTCAACTCTAAAAGGTTCAGAAATTAATTCTAATTTGACGGAATTGACAAGTTTCTTCCTCAATGCTCTTAAATTTAGAAGTGATGGAAGTTTCTCTTTGGAGGACGCAAATGTTGTAGAAGGGCATATCGTACAGGCTCTTACAGTGCTTATTTTAAAACTATCTGAAAACACTTTTAGACCACTCTATTATAAACTGTATGACTGGGCAGTAAGAAATGATGTAAAAAATGAACGAGTAATCACTTTCTATAACCTATCCAGTGGATTTGCTCATTCATTAAAAGGACTCTTTGTCCTCTTTGCAGGCCACTTTTTAAATAATGCAGCACAAATTTTAGATTCATGTAATGAAACGAAAAATGAGGAATTGTATTTTATTGAAGAAAGTAAAAATACATTACTACTAGAATATACTTTAAAAACTCTCAATGAAGTATTTCTGCATGGAAGTCAGAGGTTTATCAACAAAGACAGATTTGATATATTAATGCAGCCTTTAGTGGATCAACTTGAAAATACATTAGGTGGAGTAGAAAATCTATTAAAACGTAATGAAGAATTAGTAACTCCGTGCTTAATTCATTTTGCATTAGCTACAGCTGATGATGCACTCTGGAAACAAATGAATTATCAAATTTTGTTAAAAATGAGACACAATGTATCCAAAGTAAGGCTTATTGCACTACATTGCTTAACAGAAATTGTCAAAAAATTAGGCGAGGATTTCTTATCATTGTTACCCGAGACAATACCATTTTTAGCAGAACTTTTAGAAGATGAAGAGGAAGAGGTAGAGAAAGCATGCCAAAGAGCTGTGCAAGAGATGGAAAAAGTGTTGGGTGAACCTCTACAAAAATATTTTTAATTTTTTTTAGTCATAGTTTTATTAAGATATAATTTCTGTTATTTTTTTGCAAATAAACCAACTAATTATTAGAATTTAATATAAGTTGGGTAAAATTGTAACTAAATATTTGTACTTCAATATAGAAAATGTAGCAGATAACATGTTATAAATAAGAATATTTTATATAATTATATATTCAATTAAACAATTGAAACTACTATGATGAAGTTTTTTTTAAATAGAAAATAAAAGAAACTTATTTACATAATTATTGCAAATATATTAAAGGCGTTTTTGTCTTATTTTCAAAAATACTTGAATTTCATATATTTTTCAATTTAAATTTTAAAATAACAATAGGGAGTTAGACAAATATTTTCTTGTTTGAGATTAAACTTCTAGTGATAGCGATTAGAGTAGAGGTTAATAAAAAACATTTTCTTGCAATTTTTTCTTTCAATTTTCAATTAAAATCTACTAAACAATTTAAATAAACTGCGTTGATTGAAATAACTTCAATTAACGCAAACTTATTTTTAAAATATTGTAAGTAGTTACTGAACACTAGATGTCATCACATTCAAAAACAATAAATAACTCCATCAGGTTTTTTTGAGAGTTGGGCAACCTAAGGTATAATTGTTCAGTTAATTCAATGATTTGTTTAACTGTTTTTCTGTAAAAAAAGGAAAAAATATTTTCGAATCTACTCCAGTTTTGACACTGCACACAATCATAATGGCGTTAACATATGGTAAAATATTTTGAACAATAGGAACTAAACTAATTAAGTGTAAGTATACCCTATGTTGTACCACTTGTATCACTTAAGTGATTAGTTCCGTTCACATTATTTACTAGATGTCTCATGTATATTGTGTGTTCATTCTAAATTATAAAATATTCTACTACTTGAATTCATAAAAAAAAAACGTGTACTATACAAATGAAAATAAATTGCTACCTACGAAAATAATCGCATTTTAAATGTTACTTCGAATTCGATTTGTATCCTTATTTATTCACGACTGAACATTTAAAATTTTCAAGAGATTTTTAATAGGTACTGGATTGTTATTCCACTAGATTGAGTCTATCAGTTTTATAAAATATAAATTGTTATATTGGCTTTGCAATCAATCATTTAACTGTTCTGTTTGTCCACACTGACGTTTGAAGCTTGTTGTTAAGCATGGATTTAATTGGAAAAATTTAGATACAAATAATACTAATATCCCACTAAACACGAAACGTAAATGAAACGTGGCAAATGAGATGTTTTACTAAACATTTGAAACATTAACTACAAACGTTTCTGTTTCATTACAGAAATGTAGCACTTGAAAACTTATTTAGTGAAACATAGCCGAAACGTTACAATTGAAGAGAGTTTGAAACATTACTCGAAACATTACCTTTCGATCTCGGAATCATAACAGACGAACAACCCTTTGCTATTTTTGCTTATCTTATGGAACAATCGGCATTAGTTAAATTTTGCTCTCAATCCCCAATCCTTCTCAAGCGTTAGTTCATTTGCCTTTGTTATATAAAGATAATTAGAAAAAAAAATGTGGTAGCATATTTATAACACAAGTCTAGAAAAAATGTATGTTCGTGACTTGCGTAGACTGCGCGTAACAGCCCGAGTTTATTTGTTTCCCGTGTGTCGTTTCAATTCGTATTATGTTAGGTTAGGTTTGCGGTTTGTCAGTTTGCTTGGTTTCGTTGTTATTCATCTTTACTTTGACGCTATTTTATGTGATAATTTGTAGTGTGTGCAGTTGTGGTTATTGTAAGGTGCATATAAAATAATGAATATTGATGCAAAATGTTTAAAACGATATGTGTAAAGAGATTTCCAATTTTGCGTCACATCTACCTAAATATAGTTATACCCACTACCTATTACAGACAAGAGGACAAGGGACAAGAACTAAGAAAATGGAACAACAACTATACGTTTCGATATAATTTGAAGAGCAACTACTTAGTCAGTGAGAACTATTTGAAATATGGATGAATCAAGTGAAATAGACGTCATTTATTTTATATTTTGTACAAATGTTTATATTTGTTTATGTGTATAGGCATGCTTAAATAAAAGAGTTTAGGTATACCTACAGATATTTACTTTGTCAAGATATCATTTTGTATCCTTATTTCTGCTGTATAATTTATTATTATTAAAAGGATATATGTAATATTGACCATGCGTAGAAGAAATTATAACTTTATATTATTTTTCAGTAATGTTATTTGTTTTTCATGTACCTACCATTTTAAGATTCATAATCATAACTAACTTTTTCTAATTATCAGTTCGTCATTGTTACCATATTCATGAAGGTCTCAACATTAGAAAATTTCCATTTCAGAAGCGTATTTGAACTATATAAAATGTGTAGCTTTTTTTTAATGCTTCTGATATTGTTTTGTGATATTTTTATTTGTACGATGAATGGCAAAATTCATAATCCATATTAGAAACTTTTTTCAGTGGCTTCTCAAAAAGAAAGAAATTCTTAGTAAAAGTTGCCGCATCCCCAAACTAGAAGAGCATATTTATTTTTTTTAATATACAATGTAACTTTTTTTAGTTCGAATTAAGTCATTCACAATACAAATAAAAATATCACAAAGGAGTATTAGAGATATTTAAAAAAATACTCACACTATTTATACTATTTCAAAAACGCTTTTGAAATGAAAATGATCTAAAGTTGAGAGCATTATGAGAACAATATGGTAATAAAATTATTATGTTACTCAAACATTTCTGAAAATATACTGAAACGTAAAACAAAAATATCGAGGGCATAAATGGAACATAAAAAGAATGTTACTGAAACCAATTGTTTGAAACGTTTCATTGGAAACGTATTTTGGGGAGGACATCTTGGGCTTCTAGAACGTTACCAGAACGTTGCATGGATTTTTTATGAAACGTTTCAAGAAAAATGGAAACGTTTCTGAAACATGTCAGAAACTGAAAAATGTTTAGTGGGATATTTATGCAAACGTGTCTCACAAAAGCAGCTGTTAAATATAAACTTATTTATAATCTAAAATTTGGCATATATTCGTCTCCTTGCGTGTAAAGGTATGCAATTTTATCTCTTGGGAGTTTTTTGTCTACTGTAAATATATGTCACATGGAAATTGGTCAGAACAGCTCGGGAGTATTACAATCATCTTTATTTTCAACACCCAAGAGAAAGGTCAACTCCGCGTCAGCGGACCAATCTTTCTAATAAACATTTAAAAGGGGCTACTCGGTCTATAAGAACTGCGGGTATTGCGAAGAAGAAATTTTGAATTGTATTGATCGATGAAAATCCTCAACTAGGTAGCAGAAAAATTGGAAATCAGTTGCACGTCTCAACATTCTAGTATCTTTATTAACTTTTCAACGAATCACTACTATTGACTACTAAACTCAAAAGTGCTTATTTTCTATTATACTCCACGGTCGAAATTATAGAGAGTGATTCATCGCTGGCTTTTGGACTACTAAGGGGGATGAAGCGTGCCGGGAGCGAAAATCTATTGGCGTGTCTGCGTAAAAGGCAAGAAGATATAGAAAATAATGAAAAAAGATAATAAAACATACCATCTAATATTTTTTACGGTGTGCTATAACAGGCACTTTGATCCATTTTAATTATTACAGCATTTTAAAACGTTCCCAATTGTATTTTTTTAATTTATAAATTTATTATAGCCATGGAATTAGACTACGCTTATGCTATGACGTTTCTCAGGACGGGTTAAATCATGTCCGTTTACACCCACTAAAAAAGCATTTCCCTATTCCCTACCAAGTGCAAAAGACAGAGATGGAATATAGATCGACGTTCAGTGTAACTCGGTCTCTAGACGATTATAGATTCTATCGATGTGCGTAGCGAGCGGCACAAAGATAAATAATATTCAACGGTATAAAAATCGTTTTATATTTTATACGCATTATAGTAATAGTGTTTTTATCTTATGTCTTAGTCACTCTTTACAATTTCGACCGCGGAGTATAGGTATTTAATTTTTCAATACTTACTTTTACTTATTTATATTTCCGCTTTGAAAGTTGTTAATAAAATTCGATTTTCAAAAACGGTACAAGATATCGACTGATATACGGTATATCTTTTTTTTAGCAAAGTGAGAGAGGAATCGAACTATGAGAGAAAAATGTCAAATTTGGCAACGCTGATGCCAAAGATGTATAAATTTAAATGGACAATTTCGTCTGCTCCTGTATAATCCAGCCATATTTAATATCAGTTAAGACTTGGAAATGAACATTCCCACTAAACATTTTTCAGTTTCAGAAACGTTTCCATTTTCCTTGAAACGTTTCATAAAAAATCCATGCAACTTTCTGGTAACGTTCTAGAAGCCCAAGATGTCCTCCCCAAAATACGTTTCCAATGAAACGTTTCAAAAAATTGGTTTCAGTAACATTATTTTTATGTTCCATTTATGCCCTCGATATTTTTGTTTTACGTTTCAGTATATTTTCAGAAATGTTTGAGTAACATAATAATTTTATTACCATATTGTTCTCATAATGCACTCAACTTTAGATCATTTTCATTTCAAAAGCGTTTTTGAAATAGTATAAATAGTGTGAGTATTTTTTTAAATATCTCTAATACTCCTTTGTGATATTTTTATTTGTATTGTGAATGACTTAATTCGAACTAAAAAAAGTTACATTGTATATTAAAAAAAATAAATATGCTCTTCTAGTTTGGGGATGCGGCAACTTTTACTAAGAATTTCTTTCTTTTTGAGAAGCCACTGAAAAAAGTTTCTAATATGGATTATGAATTTTGCCATTCATCGTACAAATAAAAATATCACAAAACAATATCAGAAGCATTAAAAAAAAGCTACACATTTTATATAGTTCAAATACGCTTCTGAAATGGAAATTTTCTAATGTTGAGACCTTCATGAATATGGTAACAATGACGAACTGATAATTAGAAAAAGTTAGTTATGATTATGAATCTTAAAATGGTAGGTACATGAAAAACAAATAACATTACTGAAAAATAATATAAAGTTATAATTTCTTCTACGCATGGTCAATATTACATATATCCTTTTAATAATAATAAATTATACAGCAGAAATAAGGATACAAAATGATATCTTGACA